TGGCCAACAACGAGAAGCAAGGAGTCCGGTCGCACACCGTCTCTGTATCAGGTAAGGATCTTTTAAGGCGGCGGGGAGAAAACCGTGAGTTTTCGCTGACGGCTGTTTAGACACACGAGCGCCGGTGGTTAGAGCGCCTTTCTTGCTCCCTCGCAGTGATTTTTCCCAGGAGCGGAGCCGGGCTGCCTTGGCGGCGCGGTTCCTAAAGAGCCGCTTTCCGCCGCTGTCCCCCTCCGTAGCGGTGCCTGCGAGAACGGCCGGATCCGTGCGGGAAAGCTTCGCGGCAAGGCTGGTGGGAAATATTTCCGCGCGGGTTTTGTGGTGACGTAGAATATTTGGGAGCGCGTCTTACGCTGCGTGAGCCGCGCGGCGATCTGTAACGAGGGAAAACCAGAGACGGTTCGGTATCGAGCGTCACTTTTCTGAAAGAAGGGACTTAAGCGCTGCGTTTGTGTCGTTGCTGTTTAGACTGAGGTGCTATTACGTTTCTCCTACTGAAAGTCACGGAAGTTAGTTGGAGGGTGAGGCTGTGAGGGAATATATGTTGGTTTTGTAGCCTATGGGCTTCCAAGGTTTCTGTTTGGACTTACTGTACTTTTTCGCTTTTAGAGTTTTGATACTTGAGAGTGAACGTTTTTCTTTTACAGAGTCTGAAAACAAATCCTCCTGAGGGACTCGGTGTCTTTCTTAGGAGGAATACCTCTCTAGATCCTGTAAAGGAGATTCTCACCCTATAGATGTATATGATTTTTGGCCACAAGCTTCAGGAACCGTTTTTGTGACCAAAATAAGAGCGCCCACTCCTGACCTCCAACCCCGCTGTCACATTAGTGGCACGTAGGATCAAAACTAGGATATTTCTCACGAGGAGGAGAGAAGACGGACCGCTGCGTATTTAATTCCCTAGTCTTTGTGATCCTCTCCCCACCCCTACCCTTTTTTAAAGACGGTTAAGATTCACCTCTTGGCAGAGCAAGGCCAGACAGACCTTGGGCGAGGAAATAAGGGAGAGGACGTGGCGTTCAAACGTTCATCCCGCTGCAGAGCTTCCGCAGGTGCTGTTACCTCTCGGGGTCGAACGGCAGCTCGTGTTGCTTCGGGACCTAGCAGGCCGGCTTGGGGACACAGGAGTAGCCCCGCCTGGGAAGCCTATCCGCTCTTGGTTTACCTGCATGAGTCATTTTAGCTGTCAGAAAGAGTGGAAGTTCCTTAAATGACGAAGGCAGCGCTTTCTAATTGCTCTGCTTACACCAAGCTGTTTATCTTCAGGAAAAAAAGGGGTCGTACTTCCTTGCCACCACAGTTTTCACCCCGTCAGGTTTTCTAGGAAACCCGCTATGCTGCTGTTATTGAAAAAGTTATAAAGGATCCTGTATTTTATTATGACCCTTCACGATCCTGTAGTGCCATCTCTTTGCAAATGTAGCCATCCTTTGTCATTGCCTGATCCTTTCTATGCTGAATTGGGGTTGTGTCTCGGAGCGCAGCCTTGCCTCTTTCCCCTTGAAGCAGCAGTTGGTCGTCGATGTAATGAAGGTAATCGTAACGCCGCATAGCCCTGGCGGTTTGGGTGTCACGTAAAGACGAACGGTTGGCAAGTGAGAGCTTTGCCAGGGAACCAGACCTGGAACACAGCGTCCGAAACGGAGACGAAAGCAGCAGCGCTGCGGGTTAGCTGGTTGTTCGAGCGAAGGTCGGGGAAGCTGCGAGGGACCAAGCTGCCGCATAATGGCATAGGCAAAAGAGGCAGCAAACGTCCCTCTCTCTCACGTAGGCGCGAGGAAGCGTCCCTCCTGCTGACGCCTGTAACCAGTACACCGGTATCAGGCGACGGAGGCAGCGGATGCGCGTAACGTGCAGTTAACCCGAGAGGGACAGGGCAGCAGAGCCGGACACCTGAGAGCGTCCAGCGCAAAGCCAGCTGCGGGTGGCGATCTCTCGGTTTGTAGAGTAAGAGCTTTCCTCAGGTGACATTTAAATGACTTGGAGCAAGGGGCGTCAAATAAGAAGAGCCTTTATAACTTACTGGCAGCTGTCACGTCCTTGAGGCCTTTAAGGGCGTAAATCATAAATTCACTCCGCTGTTTGTTTGCAGCGAGATTGCCGCTCTTTGTTCCGACTTCTCCCGGCGCTGAAGCTTAATAGCAAAAATCTGAGCCGGGCGTTGGGCAGAAAAATTAAGCCGTTGGACGTATTTGTAGTTGTAATACCCTTAGTTTGAAAGGAAAGTTTCCAAGCGAGTTCCCCCCTGCCAAAATTTGGAACCAGCAATAGCAGAAAGCCAGTGTGGAATATGGTTTGGTCTAGAAGTTCAGGTTATTTGTCTGAAGTTTTAGAGGTTTGCCTGTTAATCAGCCTGTTAATGAAAGATTTCTGGACTTTCCTTCCGAAATATTTATTGACGTTCTGGCCTAGCGAAATGAAAACTTGTTCTTTCCAAGTATTTTGATGTTCCGAGGCATGAAAAGGTACTAGGTTTTCAAAACCAACATTTTTTGCTCTAACCTTCAGTAAAGACCTTTTCAAACTAGTGAAGGGTGAAGCTGCTTCCAGAAGTCCAAAGCATCGGATCCCTGGACCCAGCAGCCAGGAAAAGTTCTCTTCTGATTATGTGTCGCTGAACCTTGTTTGACCGCATACTCGTTATTGCCTGCCTCTTTTTCCATTTCTCCTTGCGCTATTTGTCTCTCCTGCCTGTTTACATTATATGTTCCTTGCAACAGGCATTATCTTTCATTATGTGCTAATAAGATGCCTACCCGTTTTCCCCCAGTGTTTTTAAGCATAGTAGTAATGTTTGTCCCTCGAAACTTGTTATATTTGTATGTGTGTGTTTATAGAAAAGTATAAATAAAAAGCACAATTAAATTTGAGCTGGATTTCAGATTTCTTTGGTATAGATCTGATGTTTTGGCTTAAGTTACTGTGACTCACCAGAAGCGATTAGCGCTCTGACTGTTTGTTAGATGGTTCCAGCTTTTATCCCCTTCTCCCTCTACGTCCGTCTTTACGTTAAAAAAAGGAATCCTTTGTACTTAGCAGGAGCGTGCATTTGGGAAACGCTAAGGCTCAACTATTTGCTGTATACTTGAAATCAAGATAAGCACATCTAATTTGCAAGAAGTAACATACCAGTTTACTGTAATTCTGTTGACTAGATTTCGTGCTGTTTTACTTGGAGCCTTTATCAAAGCGCTCTGCTCTAGTCTCCAGGAACTTACTTTGGCCAGCAGTTTGTTTTGAAATAGCAAACCTTGGCCTTAGTGAGGTGGTGCACATATTTCCCGATGCACGTATTTCCAAAAATAATAATTTACCCGGTCAATCACATATTATAGTAAGTTCTTCATAAAATGAAATCAATAAAGCCATAGTTTGCCTGCTCCCTTTTTGCATAAACTCCTTCTAACATAACATTCCTTGATTCCTGCCTGCCATCACGCTCCCTTCTGTAAATATGACTAGGAAGAATAAATATCATACTTTTGCATTCTTTGGGCAGCCTTTTTGCCTCCTTTGCACTGAAGAGTCCTGTGGCCCATAAATTCTTCTAATCCTGGCTCTACCGAAGCTTGTGTTACATGCAGAGCTAGAGAATATGGCACTTCGGGCCCATTCATTGTGGTGTGGAAATGTGTTGAACAAGCAATCCCAGTTGACATTTGGCTCTTCTGGTACTGGTGGATAGAATAATGCCCCTGTGGGGAAGAAACCATGACTGCAGAAAGATGAATAAGGAAGAAGACGGACCTTTCTGCGGGCACTGGCGCAAGGCATGGCCTGGAGGGGTTTTTTAAGGCCTGGCAAAGGAGCTGAGCTGGGTTTGTAGTACATGTTGGTTTTGCAGATTTAACATGTGCTTATTTAGTGATGGAAATTGAAGGGTGTTTAAATCTGTGGTCACTGTTTCACGTGTTACGGCAAACTGTTTAAGCCATCTGAATAGGAGGTCACACACCAGACCTCTGTAATAAGGAAACAGGTAGCATAAAAAGAGAAATACGTTTGTCGGCATGTTCCCTAGCTAACACAAATAGCATTTTAAAATTAAAGTCAGAAGGGGTAGCTGTAGGTGCATAGCTAATGTTACGGCATAAGTTTCTAGAAACGCTGGTGTGCCGTTGCCTGCCTGCAGAAGAAAACCAGAAAGTCCATTTGCTCACAGTGACTCCCTAAGAAGTGATAAGTACATCCCATGGTTTGGGGCTATCCAGTAACATGCCCCTTATAGAACAACTCCACTCTCTTGGAGAAAGCCAGTTTATTGGAATTGAAGGATTTTAGCATCCGGGAAGGATTGGTGGCTTAGCAAGGTTCCAGTTTCTGCCGTAGAACCATCGATTTATAGCGGCATCGTTACAGTCACTTAAATCACATCCCGTGACTGAACTGCCGATTATGGTGGTGAAGCAGCATGAGGGTTCTTCTCTGAGGTGCTACTTAGGAGCAGATCCTCAGCTTCAAGTAATTGCCATTTCATTCAGGTCATTTGGCTTAAAAATTTAAAGAAAGTTGGAGGACCGTTCCTCTTTCAAAGGAGATTTGACGTGATTTAAGTGAAAATAATACATTTCTGAGAGATTTCCAGTTGCTTACTTAGAAAAATGAAGCGTAGCAGGAGCCAACTGTCAAAATGGAACAAAAAAACAAAGTGTATTTTAGCCGATTTCAGTATTACGATTAAAAATGTAACGAAGGAGACGGCCTACAAAAGGGTCTGAATGTCTCCGTGAATGATGAGGGCTAATCACAGGCAACGGTGTGAGCCAGGATGGAAAGACAAATTAGATGTTATTGAACCACTTCTGCACACAAAGCACAATGTGCGCTCTATTTTGCGATTCCAGGACTCAAAATGAAGGTCTGCCCTGTGCTCAGCTCTGAAAGGGTTTCTTGTGTAGGACTCCTATTCTCCAGTTCCCTTTGGATAAATCAGGAGGGGGAAAAGGTGTCCTTTGCCTGAGGTTGAAAAGTGACGAAGTGGGGTGGGTTTGGGAACATGCTTATTTTATCAAGTCACTTCAAAAAGATAGTGCTGAAAAGTGTAAGTA